CTAATTTCTAATTGATAGAAAATAAAAAATAATAATTTTCTGAAAATGAATATGATATTACTAATTGACTGAAAATATAAAAGGATTACTAATTGACTGATTTTCTACCGTTATATATTTTCACCCGAGTCACCCATCCTGATGGACAGAAGGTTTTAGCTTTAGACGAAGATGAACAAGATTGTGTTGCTACTACCAATGTTGTCTGCAAAGAGGTTACAATAATGTGTATATACAATCGGTGATATTAAGTTTTATAAATGGCAAAATTGCTCTATGTCTATACAAAATATATATTTTCATTCTTATAACTGAGTTGCTAGAGAACGTGCACATTTGCCTAATATAAAAATACTGAACAATAATATGTTTTATTTTTTTTTTTAGTATACCCAGGGTTTCCACGCACATCTCAGTATGAAATTGATAGTATTCACTCTTGAATTGCCCGTTCACTGCACGGTTTGAACTTTCCTCTACTCAGCATGCTGATGCCTTCGCCAATTTCTCTTTCTCGATCTCGACTTTCCTCTGCTCAGCATGCTGATGCCTTCTACAATTTCTCCTTCTCGATCTCGACTTTGCTGAGCAATGCCATGTGCGAGAGCTTGAAAAACACATCTCAGTATGAAATTGATAGTATTCACTCTTGAATTGCCCGTTCACTGGACGGTTTGAACTTTCCTCTACTCAGCATGCTGATGCCTTCTCCAATTTCTCTTTCTCGATCTCGACTTTCCTCTACTCAACATGCTGATGCCTTCTACAATTTATCTTTCTCGATCTCGACTTTGCTGAGCAATGCCATGTGCGAGAGCTTGAAAAACACATCTCAGTATGAAATTGATAGTATTCACTCTTGAATTGCCCGTTCACTGCACGGTTTGAACTTTCCTCTACTCAGCATGTTGATGCCTTCTCCAATTTCTCTTTCTCGATCTTGACTTTCCTCTACTCAGCATGCTGATGCCTTCTCCAATTTCTCTTTCTCGATCTCGACTTTCCTCTACTCAGCATGCTGATGCCTTCTACAATTTCTCTTTCTCGATCTCGACTTTGCTGAGCAATGCCATGTGCGAGAGCTTGAAAAACACATCTCAGTATGAAATTGATAGTATTCATACTTGAATTGCCCGTTCACTGCACGGTTTGAACTTTCCTCTACTCAGCATGTTGATGCCTTCTCTAATTTCTCTTTCTTGATCTTGACTTTCCTCTACTCAGCATGCTGATGCCTTCTACAATTTCTCTTTCTCGATCTCGACTTTGCTGAGCAATGCCATGTGCGAGAGCTTGAAAAACTCATCTCAATATGAAATTGATAGTATTCACTCTTGAATTGCCCGTTCACTGCACGGTTTGAACTTTCCTCTACTTAGCATGCTGATGCCTTCTCCAATTTCTCTTTCTCGATCTCGACTTTCCTCTGCTCAGCATGCTGATGCCTTCTACAATTTCTCTTTCTCGATCTCGACTTTGCTGAGCAATGCCATGTGCGAGAGCTTGAAAAACACATCTCAGTATGAAATTGATAGTATTCACTCTTGAATTGCCCGTTCACTGCACGGTTTGAACTTCCTCTACTCAGCATGTTGATGCCTTCTCCAATTTCTCTTTCTCGATCTTGACTTTCCTCTACTCAGCATGCTGATGCCTTCTACAATTTCTCTTTCTCGATCTCGACTTTGCTGAGCAATGCCATGTGCGAGAGCTTGAAAAACTCATCTCAATATGAAATTGATAGTATTTACTCTTGAATTGCCCGTTCACTGCACGGTTTGAACTTTCCTCTACTTAGCATGCTGATGCCTTCTCCAATTTCTCTTTCTCGATCTCGACTTTCCTCTGCTCAGCATGCTGATGCCTTCTACAATTTCTCTTTCTCGATCTCGACTTTGCTGAGCAATGCCATGTGCGAGAGCTTGAAAAACACATCTCAGTATGAAATTGATAGTATTCACTCTTGAATTGCCCGTTCACTGCACGGTTTGAACTTCCTCTACTCAGCATGTTGATGCCTTCTCCAATTTCTCTTTCTCGATCTTGACTTTCCTCTACTCAGCATGCTGATGCCTTCTACAATTTCTCTTTCTCGATCTCGACTTTGCTGAGCAATGCCATGTGCGAGAGCTTGAAAAACTCATCTCAATATGAAATTGATAGTATTCACTCTTGAATTGCCCGTTCACTGCACGGTTTGAACTTTCCTCTACTTAGCATGCTGATGCCTTCTCCAATTTCTCTTTCTCGATCTCGACTTTCCTCTGCTCAGCATGCTGATGCCTTCTACAATTTCTCTTTCTCGATCTCGACTTTGCTGAGCAATGCCATGTGCGAGAGCTTGAAAAACACATCTCAGTATGAAATTGATAGTATTCACTCTTGAATTGCCCGTTCACTGCACGGTTTGAACTTCCTCTACTCAGCATGTTGATGCCTTCTCCAATTTCTCTTTCTCGATCTTGACTTTCCTCTACTCAGCATGCTGATGCCTTCTACAATTTCTCTTTCTCGATCTCGACTTTGCTGAGCAATGCCATGTGCGAGAGCTTGAAAAACTCATCTCAATATGAAATTGATAGTATTCACTCTTGAATTGCCCGTTCACTGCACGGTTTGAACTTTCCTCTACTTAGCATGCTGATGCCTTCTCCAATTTCTCTTTCTCGATCTCGACTTTCCTCTGCTCAGCATGCTGATGCCTTCTACAATTTTTCTTTCTCGATCTCGACTTTGCTGAGCACTGCCATGTGCGAGATCTTGAAAAACACATCTCAGTATGAAATTGATAGTATTCACTCTTGAATTGCCCGTTCACTGCACGGTTTGAACTTTCCTCTACTCAGCATGTTGATGCCTTCTCCAATTTCTCTTTCTCGATATTGACTTTCCTCTACTCAGCATGCTGATGCCTTCTCCAATTTCTCTTTCTCGATCTCGACTTTCCTCTACTCAGCATGCTGATGCCTTCTACAATTTCTCTTTCTCGATCTCGACTTTGCTGAGCAATGCCATGTGCGAGAGCTTGAAAAACACATCTCAGTATGAAATTGATAGTATTCATACTTGAATTGCCCGTTCACTGCACGGTTTGAACTTTCCTCTACTCAGCATGTTGATGCCTTCTCTAATTTCTCTTTCTTGATCTTGACTTTCCTCTACTCAGCATGCTGATGCCTTCTACAATTTCTCTTTCTCGATCTCGACTTTGCTGAGCAATGCCATGTGCGAGAGCTTGAAAAACTCATCTCAATATGAAATTGATAGTATTCACTCTTGAATTGCCCGTTCACTGCACGGTTTGAACTTTCCTCTACTTAGCATGCTGATGCCTTCTCCAATTTCTCTTTCTCGATCTCGACTTTCCTCTGCTCAGCATGCTGATGCCTTCTACAATTTCTCTTTCTCGATCTCGACTTTGCTGAGCAATGCCATGTGCGAGAGCTTGAAAAACACATCTCAGTATGAAATTGATAGTATTCACTCTTGAATTGCCCGTTCACTGCACGGTTTGAACTTCCTCTACTCAGCATGTTGATGCCTTCTCCAATTTCTCTTTCTCGATCTTGACTTTCCTCTACTCAGCATGCTGATGCCTTCTACAATTTCTCTTTCTCGATCTCGACTTTGCTGAGCAATGCCATGTGCGAGAGCTTGAAAAACTCATCTCAATATGAAATTGATAGTATTTACTCTTGAATTGCCCGTTCACTGCACGGTTTGAACTTTCCTCTACTTAGCATGCTGATGCCTTCTCCAATTTCTCTTTCTCGATCTCGACTTTCCTCTGCTCAGCATGCTGATGCCTTCTACAATTTCTCTTTCTCGATCTCGACTTTGCTGAGCAATGCCATGTGCGAGAGCTTGAAAAACACATCTCAGTATGAAATTGATAGTATTCACTCTTGAATTGCCCGTTCACTGCACGGTTTGAACTTCCTCTACTCAGCATGTTGATGCCTTCTCCAATTTCTCTTTCTCGATCTTGACTTTCCTCTACTCAGCATGCTGATGCCTTCTACAATTTCTCTTTCTCGATCTCGACTTTGCTGAGCAATGCCATGTGCGAGAGCTTGAAAAACTCATCTCAATATGAAATTGATAGTATTCACTCTTGAATTGCCCGTTCACTGCACGGTTTGAACTTTCCTCTACTTAGCATGCTGATGCCTTCTCCAATTTCTCTTTCTCGATCTCGACTTTCCTCTGCTCAGCATGCTGATGCCTTCTACAATTTCTCTTTCTCGATCTCGACTTTGCTGAGCAATGCCATGTGCGAGAGCTTGAAAAACACATCTCAGTATGAAATTGATAGTATTCACTCTTGAATTGCCCGTTCACTGCACGGTTTGAACTTCCTCTACTCAGCATGTTGATGCCTTCTCCAATTTCTCTTTCTCGATCTTGACTTTCCTCTACTCAGCATGCTGATGCCTTCTACAATTTCTCTTTCTCGATCTCGACTTTGCTGAGCAATGCCATGTGCGAGAGCTTGAAAAACTCATCTCAATATGAAATTGATAGTATTCACTCTTGAATTGCCCGTTCACTGCACGGTTTGAACTTTCCTCTACTTAGCATGCTGATGCCTTCTCCAATTTCTCTTTCTCGATCTCGACTTTCCTCTGCTCAGCATGCTGATGCCTTCTACAATTTTTCTTTCTCGATCTCGACTTTGCTGAGCACTGCCATGTGCGAGATCTTGAAAAACACATCTCAGTATGAAATTGATAGTATTCACTCTTGAATTGCCCGTTCACTGCACGGTTTGAACTTTCCTCTACTCAGCATGTTGATGCCTTCTCCAATTTCTCTTTCTCGATATTGACTTTCCTCTACTCAGCATGCTGATGCCTTCTACAATTTCTCTTTCTCGATCTCGACTTTGCTGAGCAATGCCATGTGCGAGAGCTTGAAAAACACATCTCAGTATGAAATTGATTGTATTAACTCTTGAATTGCCCGTTCACTGCACGGTTTGAACTTTCTTCTACTCAGCATGCTGATGCCTTCTCCAATTTCTCTTTCTCGATCTCGACTTTCCTCTGCTCAGTGTGCTGAGCAATGCCATGTGCGAGAGCTTGAAAAACACATCTTAGTATGAAATTGATAGTATTCACTCTTGAATTGCCCGTTCACCGCACGGTTTGAACTTTCCTCTGCTCAGCGTGCTGAGCAATGCCATTTGCGAGAGCTTGATAACGGAAGTCCAAAGACTGGGTGACGCTCTGGAACCTCAAGGGATCAGATGCTTGAAGAACTGGATTATAGATTTATGAAGATAAGGTCAACACACATTTTATCACACACTATACCAAAAACTAATTAACCCAAAAGGATGGAAATAGGCAGGGATACCTTTGACGGAATCAACAAAGAGAATAAAAGGGTCCACCTCATCAATGGGTGACTGCAACTCTTCATCGTCACTAAAATCATCATCAGACGAGTCATCATCTTCAGCTTTGAAATGCCATTTCTCTATCAGACCCATCTTCATCATCATCACTTTGAAATCCATCCATCTTAATACATATAAGCATCTATATGAAGAATAATCCAAATACATGTGTGTGTGTGTGCATACAGAAAACCGCTTAGGGCACGCCATCTTCATGCTTGAACCACGCAATCTTTGAATTTTCCAGGGCTAACACTAGGGGAGAAAGTGGCGGATAGGTCCCATGTTCATTCTACTATTTTTTTTTTTTAAATAAATTTGTTGTGATACGCATTGCTATTAAATTTTAGGGAAAAAGATCAAATAAAGCTCTTGAACTTACCTAAAGGTTCCTAAACTTTTTAAAGTTACAATTAAACTCATTAACATTTCATTTTAGTGTAATAAAACTCAAAAATAAGTTAGTGACCTGCTATCACATGTCAATATCCTGGCCCAAACCGACGACATTTCTTCCCGAATTTTCCAAATAGACTCGAATCCGAAGTTGCCTTGACGCTCCATGGTTCCATCTCAACCAGGCAGTCCAATCAGATTCACTCTTGAATTGCCCGTTCACTGCACGGTTCATCACCAACAAGAAAAATAATTAATCTTACGTATATATTCTATTTATCAGTCAAAACAGTCCATGAATATAGCTAATCACTTATGGTACGGTTGTTTGGTATTGCCCAGTATATAATCATACAGTCGGGGAGTAACACTGATAATTTGTTTACTGTTATATTTCAAATTTGGCGAGACTATAATCGAGAAGAATGCATGCCTCTTTTACTGCCAATGAGCTTATACAGCAATTGGTCAAATGGCGGCAGTTTTATTGAGTTCGAGGCCCTAATATCAAACAAGGATTTGTGAGGATATGTACCCGCACTCAGCTTGATATTGGAACATCCTTAGTACCCGCACTCAGTTTTATTGATATTTTTGTTGCGGTTTTTGAGGAGTTTTTGTAAGTGTGATTAGGAAAGAGCTAAAAATGTAGGTGAAAAAAAAAGAAAAAAAAACAAATAATGACATTTAAAAAAAAACAGTAAAAAGTGGTTTAAAAGTCGGCGGCCACTCTGACGCGTCCCAACGGGCGCATGCAGGGCCGTATTTTAAGTTTTGGTGGCCCTGTTCTAGTAAATAAATGTGGCCCTACCAAAATCATAATTTTTAAAACTAATACATGCAAGTTTCGAACCTTTGACCTCCAAGTTAAATTACAATAAATACACATTCTTACCATCTCTTCATAAAACCTTTAAAGTTTAATTGAAAACTTTTTAATTTTTATTTTTAAACTAGCTAGGTAAAAATTAAATATTGAACCTCTAAATTTTGGGGCCCCTCTAAAATTAGGGGCCCTGTGCGGTAGCCCAGCTTGCACAGCCTAAAATCCGGCCCTGGGCGCATGGGAAACACGTGCCCGCTGGGGCGGCAGTGCGTCCCAACAGGTGCGTGCTGTTTTTTTTTTTTTTTTTTTTCTAACATGATTTCTTGTTTTGCAAAAGGAAGAACCAACCAAATAACTCCATTCCACATCTACAAAGAACCCCATTCAAATTTTTTCACCCAACATAAACCAAGAATTATCTCTAAGTAGGGATGCTCTTAGAGAACGAATTGAGCTGAGCGAACTGCAAACATTGGAAAGTACAAAAGCTATGAAAGGAGGGCAAAATATTGAGTCTTGACACTTAAAATTTCATTTTGGCCAGTAGATATTTCGAGATAAAGATTGAAATTAATAGAAATGGCAAAGTGGCAGTGGACAGTGCAGTGAACTGGCAATTCAAGAGTGATTGCTTAGAGGAATCAAATTGGAGTATCCGGCTATGATGGCAATAGGGAGTGACAAGGAAAATTTGGATTCGAGTCTATTCCGCAAATTTGGAAAGAAATGTCAGTGAAGTTAGCCAGAATGTGGCTGTGATCTTTCTTGCAAATATGCCATAACGTTTTTTTTCTTTTAAATTAGTGTTTCTCATCTGTTAGATATGGACACGTGGACGGGGACGGATGTCTTGGGCTCACCGTTCTCATTTGTGCTTTCAAGTGAAAATAGGTGCACTTGTAAGTGATTGTACTTACACTTTTTACTTGCAAAGGTACACCAACTACACGCACTTATAACACATTTACTTGCACCAAAGTCTGAGTTATTTACGAAAATGTCACGATTTGTTGATCTGGACACGTGGACAGTTATAAATGGTTTTTATTTCTCACCTTGATGACCGTTCGCATTAGAGCGTCTCCACACACACACACACACACACACACACACACACACACACACACACACACACACACACACACACACACACACACACACACACACATATATATATATATATATATATATATATATATATATATATATATATATATATATATATATATATATATATATATATATATATATATACTTGAGTTCAAATGAAGAACGGTATATTATAGAGGCTGCGAGGACTAATATGACGTTTGTCATTACTCTATATGTCGTGTGTATGGCATGATGTAGTCGTGTGCCATAGTTTGTATGTCGCGTGCATATGTTATTTATTAATAGAGTCTGTGTTTGAAACCTGATATTTACGTGTGTGCTTGTGTGCCATTGTGTATTAAGTTGTGTACTTGATAGTAATTTTTTGTGTGACCAAAATTGGTCAGCACAGTCCTCTCTCTCTCTCTCTCTCTCTCTATATATATATATATATATATATGTGTGTGTGTGTGTGTGTGTGTGTGTGTGTGTGTGTGTATATGTATATATATATATATGTATATTTATGTATATATGTGTGTGTAAGTTATATATATATATATATATATATATATATATATATATATATATATATATATATATATATATACACACACACACACACACACACACACACACACACACACACACACACACACATATATATATATATATATATATATATATATATATATATATATATATATATATAGATTTTGGATCCAGTGAAACCACCCTAATTAGGTGAGATCATGAGATTCGATCTTGTGCATTCAAATTTTTTATTTTAACGGTTCAGATTTCTGGATTGTTTTATTTGTTAATTGACGATCTGTAAAATAATTTGGGGTGGTTGAGTAATTTTGCACACTCATTAATTTCAATCCATATCAAAATCTTGATATTATCTTTATTTCCTTGTGCGATTGTGTTTCTTTGTATCTACAGTTACAGCTCCTACGCTTTTCTTCTTGCAACCATCGAATTCAAGCGGCTCGGTGATTACACCATCAATCTCTTCGTGTCAGTGGTTGTAGTACCGGATTCTCCATGGTTGGCTCTCCCATCAGGCGGTCAAAGTGTCGAAAGAGTCGTTCTTCTGGTGGTGGTAAGGTATTTTTGTACTCCATTGTTTTTTTCTTCTTATTTTTCTTTGGTTCATTGTTGTTCGCCGGGTGGGTGTTCGGATGGCGAAACGGGGGGGTGGGGGTCGATGGCAGTAGGGTTTTTGTGTGGTATCGTTAGGCTTGGTGTGGGTATTTGTTTGGCTAAAATGGAAAAGAAAATGGTAAGATCATTGCGTTTTAATTTTTCACAATAATATTACATAGTAGAATAAATCAAATCACAATTATATCATAAATCATTCACAATTTTAAACAATAGAACATAAATTAAAAATAGACCGAAAATATTTCAATAATAATATTCTACATCATAAAAGAAAGGTAAATTAAAAATGGAAAGGAAATATTTCAATAATAATATTCTTCACCATCAATAGTAAATGCATATTTTAACAATAGTAAAGGTAAACAAAAAATGGAACAAAAATTAAAATGAAACAGAAATATGTTAATAAAAATATTCTACATCATCAATTAAAAATGGTTCGGAAATTGGGTAAAAATATCACTGCATCTAATATTCTAATTGACTAATTGACTCAAAATAAAAAAAATACTTGGCTGAAAATGAATTTGATATTACTATTTTTTTTAGGGGAATCTGATATTACTAATTGACTGAAAATATAAAAGGAAATGAATATTAATAATTGATTGCAAATAAAAAATGATTCATAATTGACTAAAATGAAAAAAGAAATTGTCAGATCATTGCATTTTAATTAAAAATGGAACGGAAATTAAAAATTGGACAGAAATATTTCAATAAAAATATTATACATCATCAATTAAAAATGGATCAGAAATTAGGTAAAAATATCACTGCATCTAATTTCTAATTGACTGAAAATAAAAAATAATAATTTTCTGAAAATGAATATGATATTACTAATTGACTGAAAATATAAAAGGATCACTAATTGACTGATATTCTACCCTTATATAGACGAAGATGGACAAGATTGTGTTGCTACTACCAATGTTGTCTACAAAAGAAGTTTCAATAATGTGTAAATACAATCAGTGATATTATGTTTCTTTAAATGGCAAAATTGCTCTTGATGGAGAAAATTGATCCAGGAATATGACCCAGGGTATGTATTTATATGAATCAACAATCTCCCTAAGAAAATATGAATAATGTAAAGTGGTGATTGCAGGGAATCAATAAATAAATAGACATGACACAAAGATATTTAACGTGAAAACAAATATGGTGAAAACCACGAGCCTTTTTGGGCTAAGCCAAGTCGAAATCCACTAAGTTGTAGGTGTAGTACATGTACATAGATGGATAGAAGAGGTAGAAGAGGTTATTTAAGAGAGAGGTTATCATTTGAGACTGGCGTGGCCCCTTCCTCTGTCTTTCTGAGCCTTTATATAAAGTAACTTCCTGACAGTTACAACTTCCCGTAGCCTTCCCTATTTGCTTGCCATGAATTCTTCACTTTGACTAATATTATTATTTTTATTATTATAAATGATAATAATAATAATAATAATAATAATAATAATAATAATAATAATAATAATAATAATAATAATAATAATAATAATAGTAATAACAATAATATGACATGCATATTATTATACTATTCCATCATGAGTCCCCCACTTTCTTAACTG